CTGCATCTACCTTGACCTCAATCTCGTCTCGTCGTTTTCCAAGTAGCAAATACATTGCTCGATCTTAAACAGAAGCAGAATACAGTGCAATTGCCACCACTACAGCCAGAATATTATGGCTAAAAAGGCTGTTAGAAGAGCTTATAGGCCTCATCTCCAATCAATTCCTACACCGATAGTACCTCTGCAATCACGCTCGCTCAAAGTCTTCTTTTCCATGCCATAACAAATCACATTGAACTTGATTACCACTTCCTACGGGATCACATAAGGCTAAAACAAATTATGCTACAACATATCATGATGCAAGATCAACCGACAGATATTTTAACCAAAGCCCAATATCCCAAAAGACAACGTGAGTTTACTACCATGTTAACCATCAAGTCACAAGATGCTTAACTTGAGACAGAGCTTTGGAACTTATCTTAGCTTTCCTCCAGTCTCGCCACCACCTCGTCTATCTGTCATAGAATTCATCCAAGCACAACAATTAGCATTTGCTTTTATATTGAACACTTTTATGTAATTTGTCATATTTACCCTTATGGGTTATTTACAAATATGCCACTCATGTGGCTTATAAATTTATCATGTCACAGAGAAATTGAAGATATCAGAAAACCAATTCATCCTTTTCTCTGCATTTTCTTTCTCCCTGTTCTGCTTTTATAATACACTATAAAATCTTTCTTCACCATGCTAAACACAACTGCAATTATTTTTAACTCATGAGCCTTAATTCCCCACCTAAACCCACTTGTACACTCATCATTCAATGCAATAAATTACAGGTACAGTCATCCTCTTACATAAAGTATTATTATTCTGAAGGGGCTGTGCATAAATAAATGAAGTTTCATTACACTTTTTTCATACAAATCAAAACTATAAAATGATAAAAAATTAAAAAAAAATTCCTAAAAATCTCCCCCGACAATCACGCCATTGACCTTGATCGCATGATTCAATCACAGCTTTGATTCAATCACAGCTTAAATAATGGCAAAACAATATCATTCAAACTATAAATTTGAATGAAATTCCTATTCGGAGATTGAAAATCATCATAAGAAACCTAAAGAGCAATATCTTCAACGAATCCCTAATAATTAAACTAATAATTGCAATAATATCCTGATCAACATGGAGGCGAAATAACGCTGCGAAGCTCGTTGTACCTGGAAATATCGAAGCTATGCTCCTTCATCAGCTGCTTCTGCTTCGTGGCAAAGCGGCTGTTGAAGAAGCTTTCGAAAGAAGGATCAGTGGATGTTCTCATGAAGAAGATGAAACCAGCCATGAAGTATAGGGAAGTTACGTAGAAGCAAATGGGTTCCATGACGTCCCATGAGAGTTCCCAGAAGGTTAGTCTCATGAAAGCCATGGTTTGTGCTGCTAAAAATCCTAGACCTGACCATAGTTCTCTCCTAACCTTGTACTCAGCCTCCTTATCGATCATGGCTTTCTTCTCTTCCAGTTGTCTTAGCTCATTCGACTTCGTTTCACTGGGAGGGAGAAGCGACTGGGTAATCACGTTTTGGATTGCCTTAGTTATCTGTTTTGTTGATAAAAAAAGAGAAATTTTGTTAATTTATAATATCTGCTGAGTGGTGCAATATAATTGGCTTTTGACTTGTTTGAAGAGGCTGCAATGAAGCTGTTGAAGAAAAAACTGTTCTTCAAAAAGTTTTTTTTGGCTATTATAAAAAAAATAATTTTTGAAAAAGTGAGATAGCAGCAACCACAAGTAGTAGGTCAGATGGGAAAACACAACTTTAAGCTATAGCATTTTGAGAACGCGTGCAAAATACAATTTTGCAAAATAGAAAAAACTACGATGCGGCATTGTGCTGCCGCATCCTTAATGATTGAATGCTTTAACTCCAATCACAAATTTAAAAATAAATAAATAACTTAATGATTGAAAGCTTTATCTTCAATCACAAATTAATTAAAAATAAATTAATATATATATTTATACATATGTATCATGTCATCTCAAAAAAAAAAAAAAAGAAATTTAACACTTAGTGAGATCAAAATATTCTCACGTTGTTCTTAATATTTACTATGAAAAAACTAGCACTAGGAAAAGCACAAACACCGGAAAAGGCTATTAATTACGAAAAACACCAAATTTTTATGTTTGCTAAATTTCAATAATGTATATAATGCAGAAATTCCCCCCTCAACATTTTGCAATCAACAAGAAAATTCAATTCTAGCAAATAAATTTCTAACTTACAGCTTCTCTGAACTTGTAGAGAATATTAACTGCAGTATCAAATGTTCAGACAATTTCTCATAGGAGAACACGACACATCAAGTTCATATGTGATATGATGTGCCCTCCTGTGAGCGAATGTCCGGACATACAGACAACAGATACATAATACTTTTTCCGTAAACGAGGTTCCCTTTGATTCCTTATATTGTACCTCTATTATATATATGAACAAACCATTGGAGTCCATCAATATATAATAAAAAATAAATAAATGATACTCAAATCCAAAGCACAGATGATCCAGCCATCTAGTATTGCTAACCAAGAGTAATATTCCACACCATAAGTCGCGACAAAATTAATTAATTAATGATACGATTAAATTCTTATTATGCTATCTCAAACACTTCTTCAAAGAGTCCAGTAGCAAGTTGGATCAAGATTCTAAGAAGATGTCATTAACAATAAATTCAAAAGAAAAAGTTTAATGGTAATCTTAACTCTAGCGGACTTAGAATTTGGGAGTTTGGATGGAAATTTTGATCTTCAAATATTCCATAATTTTAAAATACTAGGTTCTTAAACAAGCAAACTTAATGATTTTAGTCAGATGTGATTTGTTGGTCATGCGAAGAATAATAATTGAGGATCTAACATGGTCCAAATGTGTATTGGAGACTTAGTACAACAGTAATAAATATAATGTTTAGTTAATGAAGATTTATTAACACATATAATGATAAAGTGTCATATGTAGAGACTAAAATAAGAAAATATAAAATAAAGAAAACTAGTTGATCATATTCCTCCAATATTACCCCCCAATATGGATCCTAGGAGAGGACACCAACCTTGACATGGAGCAAGTGGAGGCGATGACGAGAGAGAGATTTGATCAGTGTGCATCAATAAGTTGATCATCGTAAGGAGAATGAAAAACATGAATATCTCGATTATTGACTCTTTTTCAAACAAAATAAAAGTCACTGACAACATATTTCATGCTCCAATGAAACACTATATTGTCACTCAAGTGATACTAATATTATCAATATCACGTTAGACCATAAGCGTAGTGGGTAGAAGAATATCAAATTCAAAGATTTGTAATTATATCTAGATGAATTCAATCTTGAAACAAATAATTACATGGTATTTGGCTTTGAAGAACGAATAAGCAATAATATTTTATGAGCTAGCTATAGGCCAACAAGCTTGGTGGTTAAAATTTTGGTTAATTTAATGAGGGGGGGCGTGGGAGTTACATAATTATAACTAGGTGATTTTTGGGTGGACAATGATTAGCGAGTAATTAAAGAGAATAGAAAGTAATAAGCATTTTTATAAGCCTAAATTTTTTCTTGATTTAATTATGGGTTGAGGATGACATTGATATTTGTGTGCAATGGTGAAGAATGTAATGACACAGAATAATCGATCATTTGCCGGAGAAAAAAAATTATTCCAATCATGTGCAAAGACGGTGCATATTAAGTTATATTTGCAATGGAGAGATTAAAATTAGTGAATATAAAATATAAATTTGTTAGTTTATCATGCTCCAACAATAGTTGGACACACTAATTTCGAAATTATTTATAATTGAAGAATATAAGTGCATGATCTTTATCTCCCATGCTATTGGTATACCAAATGACTACAAATGTGGAAATTTTTTATGGAAAAATATAAACTTTTACTATCTGAAATGGAAAACAGCAAGTAAATCCTAAATATGTGAAAATTTGGGGCCAAAAACTTTTTTTCGGCTGGTCCTAAGTTTCTCAGTGGATTATCATTTGCATGAGCTAATACACGTCATTCTGAATTGATTAAGATTAAATCTTCCACTTTTTTTTTCCTTAAATAGCATACTGAATTGATGGATTCAATTTTTGTTTAAGAAACCTCTTTTTCTTAAATATTATTGCTATAATAAAATAATAAAATGTGTTAAGTATGGCTCATATATCAGACAAGGGACAGATGCTGGAGCGAAACAGAGCGAGCCAGCTGAGCGAAGCGAGCGAGCAAACTGAGCTAGCGGAGCGGATCGACCAAGGCATCATGCGAAAAGGGCACGGGAGGAATAATCCTCCGAACGCTAATTCAACGCGGGGTCAATCCCGCGGCCCTGTCTCTTGAGAAATCCTTAACTGTGTTTCTCAATAAGTTGTTTGTACTCACGAAACAAACAATTCAGGCGACATTTTCAAAACGCCTCCGCACTTATATGCTGCACCAAACAGCCCCTAAGACTTGCTTTAGTTTGGCTTCTTAGCTCATTGAGCATTGTTCATAAGCTAATTATCGGGCTGAGATTGAATCAGTTCATCGGTCAGCGTAGTTCAATTACAACCCTCTTATTACCAATAATTTTACCTTAATATTTTTATGAAATTTTTTGTAAAAAAAAACACATAACTACGCTTTTTTTTCTTTTTTTTTTCTTTTTTTTTCTTTTTTTTGTGATGAGGCGAAAACACATAACTACGCTTTTTTTTCTTTTTTTTTTTCTTTTTTTTGTGATGAGGCGGTGTTTGATAGCATAATTTAAATAAAATTTAGTCATAAATTTAGCGTAAATTGAGCCAAAAATTAAAATAAATAAAAATTAAATTTAATGCTCCGTTAAATTAATTTTTTTTGCATTTTATCTTTCCTTCTCGGGTTGAGTCTCTTTTAGATTCTGATTCCAAGACGGATTTAATAATCTCTTCATATCATCACTTGCGAGTTCATCTCTATCACACATTCTATCAAATTTAATAGATTTGATAAATCCTATTTAACATAAATTCTATAGCAGCCAAACACTGCGCAAGAGTTAGTGAAGTTAGTGCAATTGGCTTCAGGGCATGGAAGACAAAACCCGGACGGCGATTTGCTTCGCCATTGCCACACACAATTGATAGATAGAAATCGAGGAGGAAACCATTTAACCTACCTGATCGGGATGAAGGAATACAACCTTCCCGTGAACCATCACCATCCCGCGCATATCAAGAGAACGAGCAAGCCCCATCCCCTGCTCCTCACTCGAACATTCGCAGCAGATCCGCAAAAACTCCGAAAACTCGATCACGCTCTTCGCAATCCCCTTCAGCCTCAACCTCACCATCTCCACCTGCGACGCCATGATCGCCTTCCTCAACTCCTCAATCGACGCCCCTTTCCTCAACAGCTCCTCTTCTTCTACCACAACCGATTGCCTCCGCGGCATAAAAGGATGCATAACCCCCGCCGCTCTGAAACCCCATTTCAATTCCTTTGTCACCGCCGCCTGAATCCGCAGTCTACGGCCGCCCGATTGCGGTGGGATTCGCCGGGGAATGAGGGAACTATGGATACCCACCGCGCCCGCATTGCCTCGGATTTTGATCGGGCTTGTGGAAGCCATATCGAGAAAGCGGCGGGCTAGGGTTTTCCCGAACGCCATTACTGCGAATAGGAAGCTGTTTGCTTCTTTGATTGGCAAGTAGGGATGTACGAGGAAGTGGGAGAGCTTCGGCGTTATATATATGGCTGTCAAAATTGCATCTGTTTAGTTTGCATTCCATTCATAGTTCGTTAGCCCGCCAAACAACAATAATTTTTTTACCCAAACAAGTAGAACACTAACCAAATTTATTATATATAAAGGAATTGTCAGAGGCTATTAAACGATCTTCGATTATTCCTAGATGAGTTAAATGTTCAAGTATCATATCCTACACTGAGGAATTTGAACCCGTGATCTGAGGGGACTTACGACCTTTAAAGAAGCTGCTCTACCAACATATCATAATACACGGAATGTATGCATGTATGTAATTGAAGAGTAGTACTTTTATAAAAAATAATTGGCTAAGGCAACAAAGATTTAAAATCAATTAAAATTTTTAATTAAAAAAATAGAATAAAAATTTATTAAATTACATTTAAATGATATTTTTATAAATAATAAAATTTAAAACTCAGTCTAATCATTAATATCCTAAAATTATATAATTAGGGTTGTCAAAATGATTTTTTATCCCCGAACAACCCTATGTTCGGCTCGCGAAATAAATTAGCAGAACATAAACATATTTTCTTTGTTCGAAATATAAACGAGCAAAATATGATCAAATGATATTTTTTAAGATTGTGTTCATCTCTTTTACACACTCGTAAGAGAAAGGTTGATAAACTCACGAAAAAATTAGTTGGGCGAATTGCCACGTGGATGTGACTTGGAGAATGAGGTCATTGCTGAGATCAAGCTCAAATCAACATTGATTTAAATATGATACATTATATTTATACTTCATTTCTTTGTTAGCAAACAAACATCCTCCCTTATTGAAGTAATTATTATAATAAAATAATAAAATAAATGAACTATTAAAAGAGAAAAGTATGAAATCATTGTTAATAACACAGCCAGTGATACCTTTCAAAGAAAGGAATATTAGAAAGAAGATATTCAAGAAATTTATTAATGTTGTAACAAACATATAAATAACTCTTGGTGTCCATGTAAGGATCACTTTATGTGCACATTGATGTAATATGGCTTTCCTATGAAATACATAAATCTACATTTCATCTTATTCTCTTTTTTCTTCATTCATGTTCTACTCTATTTTCTTCTATTTTTCGCTTTCTTTTTTAACTTCTTGGAGGAACACTTACATTTCATAGTATTAGAGCACAAGCTTATTAGTGTATGTTTCTATTCTTCTTTAATTTTTTTTTGTAAGGAGTCGTCAGTTTGTTTATCGTTCTATAATTTTCTTTTCAGAGTAAATCTCTCTTTCGGATCATATGAATAATCTAGAGAAGAGAGGAACAGAGAAATAATAACAAATGATAATGAAGACAAACGAGAGAAAGAACGTGAAGAACTTTCGTAAAGTAAACTTCGTGTGATAGCCCGAGAGCATATGCCCAAAACGAGATCAGGTCAAAAATACATTGGAACCTATCCGTGAAGAATACCCAACGAAAGAAATCTACAACCAGAGAGTCAAGTGTATGTGTGATTGTTTTCGGGTGAAGAGCAACAACCAAAGGGACGTATCCCTTTGGTTAATAACATCTTGATGGCTACCCAAGAATAATCTCGATCAAATAAACTCTACTTACACTTATATAGTGACTAGTAAATATGGCCACAAAGGACGGTTACCTCACAAAAGCGTCTCAATGCCTTCAAAGCTCATGTCGTTCCATACGGGCAGAGAATGAGTCCCTCATAATCTCATACGGATGGCGGCTTATCAACGACAGGGGCCTGTGAAACACCAGATCGATTTGTAGGATCCACAATATGCTTTAACGTCTAAGGGTAGAGGATGAATCACTATATCTCAAATGGGTGGTGGTGAATCCATTGTCGGGGCCTACGAGATGACATTAACAAAGCGTCAAAAGGAGCGACAAGGCTCAAAGGGGTAAATAAAGGAAGTGTAGGTTCTAATTCTATACATCAATGATATTTATAATTAAGGAACGTGACACGAACAACTAGTTGCTGGTTCCCGTCACGTGGTTATGTTCGTCTGGCGACCATGAACATACCTTATTTGTAATAAAGAATCTTATAAAGACTCTAAAAGTACATGAGGAAAGTAAAAAAAAATGAACTTGACCTGCATGAAAATCAAGTTAGTATAAAAGGAACTTGACCTACGTGAAAATCAGGTTAGTATTAAGAGTTATCTACATGCAATGTAGTGAGCTATGCCCGGTGGGAGAAGAGCTAAGCAACACCTACAGAAATTGTGATTAGATAAACCATTACAGCTCCTCCCTGATGGACATGACTCCCTGCAAAAAACCTCCTCTAATATAGTATTGTGTACGCCTTAAAACCATTAAACACACAAAATAGCACAAAAAGTGATGTCTGGCTAGAGCAATAAAATCAACAGAGAACTATAGCCAAGGCTTCTAGAATATTACCTAGCATCTTAGCCCTAGCCTAGCACACAATCTAACATATAGTGCCCTATCATGGCATCTAAGTGAGTGGAGGGTAAAGTCAAAATGGTTGGCATATGTTTTAACGGGGTTATCGTCCTCACCCCATCCTAAGGGTCCAAGTATTCTGAGAGGTGCCACTAGATGCAAGTTTTATGGAAAACTTTAAAAAAGGTTGACCTCATCTATGGTCTAAACACAACATGCAATAGCTTTCAAAATAGAATTTCAAAAATGTGATGCATAGATAATAAAAATATAAAATTTTATACTTTGAAATAGTTCCTAAGAAGGAAAAGCCTAACTGACAACTATTTGACCACTTGGAACTTTAACACAACATATCATGCTAGTCAGTATGTGAAAGGAAGTATTGCTCCCCTAGACATTCTCACGAGCAATACTAGCTGTCGCATCGTGACTAACAAGGATTTACTTAGCTAACGAGTCTAGGTTCATCGTCAAGACGATCGCGGATGCACATGCAGATGCAAGGAGATCAGGTGCATAGTGTCCTCTCCGTCGATGTAGGAGTGATCACGAGACAACAAACAAACATTATAAGTATATGACGACGCATACTAGTGACAAATGCGCTAACGAGTCTAGGTTCATCGTCAAGACGATCGCGGATGCACATGCAGATGCAAGGAGATCAAGTGCATAGTGTCCTTTCTGTCGATGTAGGAGTGATCACGAGACAACAAACAATCATTATAAGTATATGACGGCGTATACTAGTGACAAATGCACCGACAATGCGGTGATGTGCTTGCAAGGCACACAAAAAAAGTGAAGCGGTGTTCGTCTAGCTAGGGAAAATCACACATCGAGTAGGTTTTACATAAAAGTCATCCCCACAGAGGACACACGAGTATCCAGAGTGAGTGTGCGAGAGCAGTGACGCAAGAGAGATGCCTAAGGCAGTCCAAAACAGTGCAATAGGAAGTAAAAGAGTGTGCAAGCAATAATGACTCATTCGAGAGAAGACAGAAGAGTGTCAAGAGTGAGTGTGCAAGCGACAATGACTCCAGAAAGATACTAGAGTGCCGAGAGCGAGTGTGCGGGGAGGTGACTCGAGAAGGGCACATGCGGCCTTCTTTGATATGCTTTCATTTTTTTTTTTTCCGAAAGTTTTCATCATTTTATTACTTTTGCAAAACATTACAATCATTTTTGAAGGAAAATTTACAAGTCTACCAATCAATTCCCATTTATTAAAATATCCACCAACAAAACTTTAATTTGTACCTTACATAGGAATTCAATGGTAGGTATGGCATCCTTTTTTTTTAATGCAGTCCACTAATTGTAAACGCTAAATCTTTAGGTGAAGATATCGTCCTATGTTTTAATAGGAAAATTTTCTTAATTAATTTTTTTTTTAATATGAATTCTTCAAATAAATTTAATGAATTGATAATAATAAAAAAATAATTTGGCAAAATTATTACTGCATTCCATTTTGGCCAAGAAATTAAATAATTGTGTGGAATATGGAAGTTACCAGCTTCTTATATAATGAGGCATTTATTTTCGCACAATCAAATTTATTTTTGGAACTTATATCGGGAGAAAATATTCCGTCCGGACGGTCAACCGTGTCGGGCACATCGTCATACAAGTCAATGAGGGGCGACGTGACAGCCGGTGATTGGCCGTCCAGACGAAATATTTGTTAAGAAATAAATATATCTGAATATGCGGACGGCTCTAATCCCGTCAATATCATTCCATGTGAGATTTTTGGCACAACTCTTAGTTGAATATGTAAATATTATAATTTTATGTGTTGGGTATTTAAATTTCTCATGCTATTTTTTTTTTTGTTTTTTGTTTTTATATTGCTTATCTTTTCACAACCTCCTTTCTATCTTTCCCTCTTTTTCTTGAAAAAATATTACATCAAGACTCCGCACGTAAAGTTACATGCAGAGTTCAATAAAATCAAGCCACGTGGAGGTGACAGAAAAAAAAATCGGTCTGATAACAAAGTGGAATATTTATCCCGTGTTATTCTGTGTTATTTAGGTGTTATTGTATATTATTCATGTGTTGTTGTGTTTTAGGAATATTCTCGATATTATAATAACACAATAATAGATCAAAAATACTTAAATAACAAACAATAATATCTGAATAACACACAATAGATAAATATTCCATTATGTTACCGAATAGATTTTATTTATTTTTCTTTCACTTTATTTTATTATTTCAGAAAGCACATTGAATTAGTGACTAAAATATAAAATGTCATTTTTTTATAAGATTAAATAATTTATAAAATTGTAAAATATTTTCCGATGTGGTTGTAACCACAAAGGTAGAAAGAACAGCAAAGTCCATGATAACATTGATTCTTTCAGGGGATAGAAAGTGAAATAGAAATTTTCAATTAAAATTCATTTTTTTTGGGTTGCGAAATTCAGATTTTCCAATTGGAGTTTTCTGCAAATTAGAAAATAATTAAGATTGCTTTATCTTTTCTATGGAATGTAATTAACAAGTTAATTAATGCTTTTTGGTCTTTTAGATTCGAATCCAGCCACAATGGGAAA